TCAAACCGCATTTTATTATTTATGTATTCCGCAGAGATACATTTGAAGATCACGTGACAGATGCCAGCCATTGGAATGAATGGTGAAGAAAAACGTAGGGATCTTACAATTTCAGAGGCCTTTTTGTAGAAATACTATGTCCCAAGTTGTGGACCAACGTAGTTATTACAAGTTTTTTTATNACTTTATCTCCTGCGTGTGTCTGGGCCGCGGAGTCGAGACAAATGTTCCGTTCCCAGCTCTGTCATGCATCAGTAGCCAGGATTAGTGCCTTTCGGAAAAACCATCCCGCAGTTGCATAGGTTTGTGAAGTCTAGACATTTATGAGACGCTATTTTGGGTGTCTTGATGTAGGAAAAAAGATAGGATCAAACGTTTTGAAATTGCACTGACATTTTTTTGCAAATATGGAAAGATTATATTATATATATATATATCTCAATTTGTTCACCTGTTGTCTGGATGATGAACAGCCTTTGGTTATACTTTAGTTAGACACCAACCAAGACAAAGAGATTAAGGTCAGATTTAAAAAGCCCCTTTTCTGCTTTTTGGGATTTTCCCTTTCCTGTAGTGTGCCATTTAGGTTTGTGTGCATGTAAATGGTCTGCAAAGGCTAAAATCCCAAAGTTCTCTCCCACCCTCCCTGTCTGAAATGCCTCCATTTGACTCCTTTCAGTACGTAACACTTGCGCTTCTAATCTATTGGCTAGTGCTCCATCAAATTGTACGTGATTGGCTAAGGGGCGGGACATCTCTAAGCGGTTGACTAATCACAACAGAGCCGGCCAGCTAACCATTCAGAGCAGACTGGGCTCTGGTTTCAGACAGAGGGTGAAAAGAGGTGCTGCAGCACAGGCAGTATGAGACAAATAAAGAGCTTTTTGAACATTAGAGTGTAAACAGAGGCATTATATGCAATTATCTACATGCAAATGAGCATAATAGGGCCCCTTTAACATGTAGCTCCAGTGACCCTGACTGTAAGATATAGTCCGTTTCCTTCCTTAGTAATTTTCTGGTCAGCCAGTGAGGCCTTCATAACGAGAGGAACTGCTTAATAACAGGCCTACTTACTCCAGCACTGCCTCTTCCAGCTGCTATTTTAAGCCAGCCCTAAACATTGCTGCCGTGACAGTCATTCCGAAGACAACTCAAATATTTAGCCAGAGTGACAGAGCGAGTTCAGTGTCTCCCAGCACCGCCTAGGATCAAGGCATATCTGTTGTGTTGTGGTGTTACTGTAAACCGTATTGAGTGTTTGGAGTTGTTGCGGCTCGTGTGTCATCCATCTGGAGCCTCAAGTAGATGCCCCCGCATTTACAACATATTGAGACACGGACTGAGCTGCCAACACAGATGGCACTGAGCAGGGATCCAGCCTGTCGTAGTAAACAATGTGTGTTTTCTCTTATCGACTCGCATATCTATCTCCTATAGAAACACTGAGGGTTATTTATCATGTCTTCATCGAGTGGTTAGTTTTATTGCATCACATCTGGATACATAAAACCCTTTTGACTATATAACAAAATGTGCATGCAATATTCCCTTTAAATGTTATTACTGTAAGGGATTTGTTTTTTAATGCATGCGAGCATATAGGTATGGTAATGGGTAGTGGTTTTACGGTTTTAGAGCACATCATGGTCCGCCCACACAGGTGGTTTCAGTTACCTCTTCTCTGAGGCATTGTGGGAATGCACCGAGTCCCACACTGTCCTGTATGTTACACTTCTTTAGACCTATTTCACATTTCTTTATTAATCAAATCATTCAATGAATACATATTAAAGAGAAACGTTGCCACCTTTTATGTTGATGTCAAATAAGTTTTGTAATTCCATCAATTCCTGTAGGTTGCTGTTTTACGTCCCAAATTGACGGGTGTAGTCTAGTTGGGGAACATAAACAAGATGATGCTCTCTTCCTCACTTATCTATGAGTTGTTCATAAGCAAGGCAGTGAGCCCTTCAACAGTAGTCATGTGACACAGGACTCAAAGTGCATAGGAGTTAACCCACACTAAATGAAATTGTACATATCTACACACATGCACCGATATGGCACTTCTTCAGCTAGTGTCAATGTCTTTCACAGTCCCTGGTAATGGCCGTTTCCTAGCAACTATTTCACTCTTTTTTTTTCACTTCTACAGTGAATTATATGCATGTAGGCACAGTGGCTAATATTATTGTTATGTGTTGTTTTGTTGCAGTTATGAGAAGTACTTCCTGATGTGTTCCCTCACACACAACGGCAAGAACCTGTTCAAACCGGTCCAGTCCAAGAGAGTGGGCACATACAAAAACTTCTTCTACCACATCAAGTGGGACGAACTGTGAGTGATTTCTGTTCCTTTCCTTGCCTCTCTTCTTTCCTTTCCTCGTCCATCCTTACCCTTGCTATCCTTTCCTGTTTTCTCAACCTATTTGTTTGCTCTCTTATTTCCTTTCTTCTCTCCTTCAAATTGTTCCTCTTTTCTCCCTTTCTTTTTTTC